TGAGACAAAAACGCTGTTGTACGAATTAATGGAGAATACAGTGAATATAAGCAGATTAGGCGAGGAGTGAGGCAAGGATGTGTTATGTCCCCAGACCTCTTTAACATGCACAGTGAAACAATCCTTAGAAACATAGAAGAATGTCAAGGCCCCAAAGTAAATAGAGAAAATATTAATAACATCAGGTATGCAGATGACACAGTTTTAATAACAGGCTCAAAAAGGACCTTCAATTGCTTGTAGATACTGTTGCAACAGAAAGTGAACGTAAAGGATTATTGTTGAATGTAAAGAAAAAAGAATGCTTGGTAATATAAAAAAAGCATCAAATCCTAGTTGTAATTTCATTAGGAAAAGTGAAAAGATCAAAGAAGTCCAACAGTTTAAATATCTAGGATATACGATAACATCTGATGCCAAATGTTCCGCATAAATAAAACGGAGAATCACAATGGCTAAAGCTAATTTCAATAAAATGAGCCCAATCCTGAAAAATAGAAACATTTCATTGACCACCAAAATGAAAGTTCTGAAATACTTTGTATGGTCAACCCTTCTATATGGCTGTGAATGCTGGACAATCACTAAAGACAGTGAAAATGAAATAGAAGCAATAGAAAAGTGGTTTTTTCAGGAGACTGCTAAGAGTATCGTGGAAGGAAAAGAAAACAAATTAGGCAGTGCTTGATGAAGCCCACGTGGGACGCTCACTGTTAAAAACAATCCGGAAACGACAAATGCAGTTTTTGGGACACCTGAATAGATATAAGGGTCTTGAACATCTAGCTCTCACTGGCAAAATTGAAGGCAAACGAGGCAGGGGTAGGCCCAGAACAATCTACTTGGGGAACCTAAACTAATGGGTAACAGGGAAAGATCAGGGAAACATAGCTTTTTTTACAGCATCCCAGCAAATGAATGAACGGCGAACCATGATCGCCGATGTCTGCCGGAGATCTGGCACTGGATGATGATGATGATCCAAAACAACCAACTGTTCAAGCTGCTGACCACTTTGAGCGCCTTGGACATGTTTGACAATTTTTGCGTGCATACTTTGTTGGGATCAATGGGACGACCATTTTTTATCCGCTCTCCCGGATGTCTGTGCGCATACATAATTTATTGAACCTTTCATTGACAAATTATTAACCTGCATACAGGAAAAAGAGGCTAAAACAGCACCTGGACATGGATGGCTGGTGCCTCTATAAATAAATAATTGATGGTCAGGTCAGGACAATTTGTAAGCGGATTCAAGATCCGCCTTCGAGAGAAAAGACGTGCTTCTTCTTAGACAAGTCAACATATATTATTTAGTCCACCTGAGTTATAATGCATCTGAAAAGCAAATAATTATTGCTAAATAAGACAATACTTTTCTTTAATACAAGCAATAATAAAAATGTTGCCTTCTCAAATTTAGTCGAAACAGACAAAATTCTCCCCATGTAAATAATTTCGCAACGCTGAAAGAGTCACAACTACAGCAATTTCAAATAGAAGAAAAAATAAATAGTAAATTTTGCAGTAACAATATATTTTGATGATTATGTCCCTTGACATTGTTTCTAAAACTTGCGTTTTTCTTTCTCTTGTTGGATCTTCGGGGTTTCCCGGATGAGGTCTCTCTGCCTCGAAACCATAGACTTGCATTCTTGAAGTGCACACTCACTCTCATGGCCGCTTTGCTCTCTTTTTTTATAGTACAGGTTTTACGGCGCTCACAACTGCATAAGGTCATATTATGAGCGCCAAGGGGTGGGTGTTAACAGAGAAGTCTTTACAGGGAATCAGACTTAGACTGCCCACCTGTCTAGCTTCAACAGCACAATGCCTGCTTCGACTGTCAAGGAACCCCGGAAATAGCAGGTCACAAGAGAGTGACAAACATACAAAAGAAGTAGAGGAAAATGACAATAGTAAGGATCAGGAAAGAAAAAGCAGCAGTTCCCTGTTGTAGATCAGGCACAGTTATGAGCGTGACATGAGTCAGCCCATTCCCAATTCTACTGTGCTTGAACGAGAAATGTCCCCCCTTTGGGAATGGCCTAAAGACACTACAGTCAGTGGCACTGCCCCGGGGGTTGCTCTCTATAAAACCTTGTCTGCTCTAGTGCTCACCATTGGCGCGACAATGATGGGCAAGACACCAGGTCTCGCTATAGACGAGGGTGCCAACAACCTTTTTCTCTTTATTCTACGTTAATTTTGTGAGGAAGCGCGGTGAAATCAGACGCTCGTCAAAATAACGAAATCGGAGAAACAAGCATTTTACCGCCAGTTTGGGCATTTTGATCAAATTTGTATTTTTTGGCTTAACCTATAAAAACACATTTCCATATGAATTTTACTGAAAAACATTGATTAAAGGCATAAAATGTACCATTTTTCAATTTTCAAGGACTCTTTAGCTGGAATCTACTGGAGTTAACAAACTTTGGCTGCTATTTTCTCGCTAATTTCACTACTTTTGTATGTTTGCCATTCTCTTGTGGACTGCTATTTCCGGGGTACCTTGATACTCGAAGCAGACTTTGTGCTATTGAGACTAATTCCCCGTTTGGACTTCTCTGATGACATCCACCCCTTGGCGCTCATATGACCTTATGCAGTTGCGAGCTCTGTAAAACCTTACTAAAACAAAAGAATGCACGGTTTTGATTATTGTAAAACAAACCAAAGCTTCAACCGCAGTGTAGAAAACTTTTTAAAATGTTTATTAAATGACGTGATATTCAATATGGCGGACATTAAAATGAAAACCATAATAGACAGAAAACATTTTGTTTATTGTTTATTGTCAGGAACAAAGCCGAATTGCTTTTTTTTGCACCACCAGGCTACTTGCAAAGTTTTAAGTAGTTAGACAAAGTAATCATGAGGAATTTTAAGCCCTTATCCCAGATATATTTGTGTAATAATATTCATAGAAAAAGAAAGAGTGCATTATTCAAATAGCACTAGCTTATTTGTTTGAAGGTCAGTTGTCTCCTAATTTTCCAAGGAAGCTTGCATGGGTTGCAGAAAAATATTTTGAATTAGCCAGATTGGCAGCCGAAGCCTATTCTTTTCGATTGTAGACAAGCAAGGGATCTTTAACGTGCGCAACTTGCACACGGTATCGCCAAGATTTTTCGCCCTTGTCCGAGAAGTCTAGGTGTAAATCTTTCCTACCAGAAGATCAGGGATGTGGCTGAAAGACAGCAGTAAGAAGTATCTTCCCCATTATAAACATTGGGAATCTCATTGTATTAGTCTGCAATGCCTGGTATTGTGAGACATCGTGGTGAAATCAGGCGCTCGTCAAAATAGTGAAATCAAAGAAACTTGATCCTTTTCGCTCGTTTGGCAGATTTTATTGAATTAAATTTTTTTGGCTACAGACCTTTTATATCTGATAAAAAAAAGCATTTCTGTGTATGAATTCAACTGATAAATGTTTATTAAAGACACAAATGTAAATTTTCAGTTTCCAAGGACTCTCAATCTTTGGAATTCAGCACACTTTGGCGGCCATTTTCTCGTTTTTTTCAAAATTTGAAACAGGACGACCCCTAACTCCTTCTAGTGCAACGCAGATATCTCAACTTCTATTCAAGACAGACTGATATTTTTTCTTCAAAAGTAAGGGAAATGAACACGCTTTTAGATAATTACAACAACTCCACATGCCCGAAATTTGACGAACGCCTGATTCCATCGCGTCGTGATACATAGTTTCTTGCTTTCTCTACCCCACTACAGCCCTGGACTGTAGATTGAAGTAGGCTATTTTGGGCGAAACCTGACAGCTTTTACTCTTTTTAATGTAGAATAATCATAATTATTATTATTATTCAAAGACTCTCCAAATACGATACCTTTGTTAAGTAAACACATGAGACAGAATTTATTTTTTTCGGGGCTATGTTTTGATTTGACTTTAAGGTCGTTTTCTTTTGTTTTAGAGTTTTGTTTGTTTTTTGCTTGCTTTTTTTTTTTTTTTTGCAGCGAGTTTTTTTTTTTATATTTCAAGATTTGCACGCATTGTATTGGTAATATCGGAGCACATGCCAGGACAATATATATATATATATTTGACACTTTTGGATTGCGGCAGAGAAAGTTCTCAACTCTTTCCGATCCAATAAGTAATGCATCTGACTTGTTATCGTTTTTGAAGCTCAAGTTCGAAACAACACCAATACAAGGATATTTTACGGTTTTAGACTTCTTTTAAGACACAGGTAGGGGTTGTGGTAATGCGGAGATTTAATGATAGTATACGAATCAGTTTAAACGGAAATGAAATTTTAATTTCTTTTAACGAGTCACTTACACAAGTCAAATACGTTTTCGTTTCAAGCGAGGCGCTGTCACGTTGTTCTCGGTGCAAGCCAAGAGATAACAAAATAAATCCCTCTTTTCCTTTAAAGCGTCTTACTACGAACAGCTGTAAGAAGGCGGCACTCCCCCCCTAATTAATGAGCGCTGGATCGGACTAATTTTATACTTTATTTTTTCTTGTCTTCTCTCTTTCTCCCTGTCTCTCTGCTCTACCCCCTTTCGGTTTCTGTCTCTTTGTGTGTTTCTCTCTTTCGCTCTCTCTCTCTCTCTCTCTCTGTCTCTCTCTCTCTCTCTGTGAGTGTGTGCATGTGTGTGAGTGTGAGTGTGAGTGTGTGTGTGTGTGTGTGTGTGTGTGTGTGTGTGTGTCTGTGTGTGTGTGTGTGTGTTTGAGAAAGAAAGAGAGAGCGAAAGAGCGAGAGAGAGAGAGAAAGAGAGAGAGAGAGAGTGTGTGTGTGTGTTTGTGTGTGTGTGTTAGAGAGAGAAAGAGAGAGCGAGAGAGAGAGAGAGAGAGAGAGGGAGAGTGTGAGTGTGTGTGTGCGTGCGTGTGTGTGTGTATGTGTGTGTGTGTGTGAATGTGTGTGTGTGTGTGTGTGTGTGTGTGTACATGTAACTGACGTAATATGGAAAGGGAAAAAAATTAAACACACCATTCACTCTCTTTATTGAGAAGTTCACTTTTTCTCGACGCCCAGAAACATGTTCGTGAACGTAGCGCGGTACTTGGAGCTCATGTTCAAGTACACAAAAATGTTCACACTCGAGTTGACAGTTTCCAGGACAAACGAAAAAGACCAGACAACGAAATAGATATTCTTATACCCCCCTCCAAAACTGAACTCTGGCTCAAGAGCCATAAACAGAAATATCAGAGTCGACGGTACGAAGCACACGATAAAAATGGTAGAGATAAAGGTCACCATTTTCACGACCTTTTTATCCTTGACCCCGACCCCTTCCGACTGGGAACCAACACCCTTAGCAGCAGTGGCGAGCCGCCATTTTGTCTTACTGTTGAGCTTGGCAACGAGCACAATAGTGCAGCAGATGACGAAGACGAAGGAAAATGTCGAGAAAGTAACACTGTGGATGAAAAACGTGATGGTCTCCACGATTTCTTTCTTCTCAGTGTACATGATTTTGAGCAAAGTAGCGTTTCTGGTGGAGTCAAATTCCCACACGAGTCGGTTCACGTAGTAGAAAGGACAGAAGACGCTGAACATGATGAGGAAGATAGAGATGATGATGAACTTTGTCCTGCGAGGCGTGATCATCATTTTAACTTTCAGAGGCAGGACGACGCACAAACATCTCTCGAAGGTGATGAAGGCGGTGATGAAGGCTGTGATTCTGTGGAGAGGTGATTGGATAGTAGAGAGTTGATGAGGCATAGAGAAAAAGGTCGTAATTCTGTGGGCAGGTGATGGGATAATACAAAAAGGAGGGGAGGGGGGTGACTGGAAAGTAAAGAGGTGGTGGGATGGTACACACTATACACAAA